TTGGTTTTTTTAGTTTCATTTGTTTTTTTTTTACCCCTTGCCCCCTTTGTTTGACTCCAGGTCGATGGACAGCCGCAGTGGTGTAGCGGCTAGACGTTCGTCTGCGGATCTGTGGACGTGGGTTCTGGTCCTGGCGGCCCTTGACTCTCAGATGGACCCAGCCTTCCATGGGTACTATGTAACGTCCTGGGAAGTAAAGGCAGTCAGCATCGTGTTGACCACATCGCCCACAGAGTGCCGATTGGTCTATTTGTAAAAAAAAAAAACTGGGTGTGGCTATGTATGCCTAATGCGACTTAAGGCGTGGGAGACGTTCCTTTACTTTTTAGGGTCCATGTTGATAGTTCGGAACGAGTTCTTTATTTTATGCTACTTTAGGAATGTTCACGACCATAATGTTCTTATTCTGCTACTGAAACTCCTCTTTTGTCGCTTCAGGTTTCGAAGCAGATATAAGGTTCCGCGGCAGATATTGGCTCTTGGTCTATCTCCTGATCTTTATCCATCTTCTCTTTTGGTGTATGCCTTACATTCCTGTTTATCAAGCTCAGCCTATCAAAAGACTTTAACTTTACCTGTGCAGTCAGTATCAGCTCACTAAGTTTTGTTTCACTTACCTGACTTCAACAATTAGTGTTTCATCGTCGCCATGTTTGTTGACGTATAAAAAAAGAAAGTTGTTATCTCCCTTTGACATTTCTCTTGGATTATGTTGCGAGTTGTTGCCCTTCAGCAGTTAAAGTCTTTTCAATAACTAATATTGCTCATTCATGAAAGATTAAATCGTGGTCTTATTTATAGCCGTTTATATGTTTATCATTCTTGTGCGTGTAGATACTGTTAGATTATTCATCAACATCCCACCCTTACACTGGATTAAAGTTTACTTCGCAATCGTAACAATGTCTTGATGAAACCGTGTTATACGGTTGAATCATCTTTCTGGATTTTCTGTACTTGTTTGATTCTCATCTCTGATGTGGCAATCCCACAGACAGTAATTCTGGAGGGGAATAATGACCAACCAACAATGTTCTCGTGGTGTCTACCTAGGCTTTTGGATGTATGTGTATCTTACTATCTGTATGTCTGGTTATTTCTGTATCTTAGGACCTGCGTCTGGATATATGTTTACATTATTATCTAATGTTCATCTAACCACTTGCGTATCTTGATATATATTCAACTGAATATATGCATGTCTGTATAAATGTTTACCAAACCACCTCTATATGTGGATGCATGTTTCCCTTACTGTTTGTAAGTCTACGTAGATGTTTACTTACTATTTGTATGAATTACTACCTGTAAAAATAAGCCAATCTTGATCAGATGCTCTTACTACTCATACTCGGTTGCACAAAAGACACCTCCTGCAACGCCATTCGTTATGTCCTGGGTTCGCCGACGATGGCTAACAGATGCAAAGTCGCACAGGTCAAGGCGTACATGAGGGTGTCGACAGACGTTAACCATCATCTGCACAAAGCTATGCACGACACCAAAGGAATGCTTCTCACAAGAGACCGCTCCTGGATGGCCAGGGCTAAAGATTTAATCCACCAGGTGTGTGACCTAGACGAGATCAGTCACGGAAAAGAATGGAAGAATACACTAGTAGACCTGCATAGCGTCTCTAAGGTTGTCATCACTCTCGGAAGGTACTGCAGGGATCAAATTCCTGCGGCCGTAGACACAGAGGTAAGGGAACTGATAGATCAGCATTCAGACCCAGAAGATATCATCATCTACACAGATGGATCCGTGAAGCCCGGATCAAGGCCAGCATGGGCATACACAGGGCCAAAAAATGGGGGAAACAATACAATAGGACACCAGACAACCACGTCAAGCATAACCACGGAGATACCGGCTGCTTCTTGAGCACTAGCAATGGGTATCCGAGCAAACCGCCACACAGGCAATAATTGTATCAGACTCCATAAATATGCTTCAGAATATAGCATCAGGTGGCATGCGCTCTGAATGGGTAGAAAGCATTCGAAAATCGCACTTACCCTCCCTCACCTGGATCTACACACCTGGTCACGCAAGTTTAAAGGAAAATGAGCGAGCGGACCAACTGGCGAGCAATGCAACAACACGTGTGGGAAGAAGCATGGACAGAGCAGATATCGTAAACGCTGTACGGACTGGTTAGTGGATAATGAGGAATCCCTGACGCTAACACGATTGAATGACATGGGGTTAAAGCATGGTGAAGTACGTCTATGCCGTCTTAGAGGCCCAGATAGGAGACAATATAACCAGCTTCCCATTGGAACAATTAGCAGAAGTTCCTTGAAATGGCTGTTGATTCGGAGGACTGAGCACTCATGGAAATGACCAATGTGCAGTGACGTCGATTGTGATAACATTACATAACATCGATTAGATAAGACTGCCCTTTTGTACAATAGTGAGTGATTTGTTATAGCCGAATGCTGGACATCAAACATTTTGCCGAAAGATCCGACCAGAGGAGAGCGCTGGGGAGGAAGAGACTAGTCTTATTCTGACAGGAAGAGGAAATGTAGCCTAAAAACGTAATGTTATGGGGGAGTAGATAAAGGTAAAGGTAAAGTTGGAAGATGTGAACCAGTGTCATTGCATACGGTTATAAACCATAAGTGCTCTGCCACCAGTACGGACAGCTGATAAGAAACTGTCCTCCTGTGTCGCCGTCCGCACGTAACTCTGTAGCTACAGCGACGTTCCTCCATTTACCCCAGAGTGTCACTCAGGTACCCATTTCCTAGAGGCTAGGTAAACCCCGGAAACCGCCGGTTTCGAACACCGACCATGGGCTGCAGCGAGTCGCATCTGGATTTGAAAGCGAGCTCCCATCGACTGCGCTAACACGGCCCTTAGCCTTGGTTGACAGCTGGTCTAGGCGGAAAGCTCTCACAGATAGACAGATAGACCACAGCTCCTGTGCGTGCTTTTTTCCACACATATCTGCTGTCAGCTTTCTTATAGAGTTAGCAGCAGGCCGAGCGAGGGATCGAGCTACATGAGCAACACATGATCTAAAAAATACTGCCTAGGCTTTGTGCTTCACAGACGATGTGGACTTTCATACCCTGCTCTAACTTGTACCCTCACAGGCTGTGACACCAACGTGAGAAGATTCTTGGCAGCCTTTCGTCATGACATGGAGGGATGTCAATACAAGAACAGATAGATACATGCTGTCGAAGATCGCTGATTGTGAAGAGGCATGATCGCCCACGCCAGTCGCCAAGGCACTTGGTAATAACGATGATGATGAGGAGGATGAGGGGGAGGAGGAGAAGGTTGTTTCACATCAATCAGAATAACAATATGAGCAACAATAATAATATTTTAATAACTGAATATTTACAAGAATAGCTGTAAGCAACCTTCAGACCCTAGGGACTATGGAGTTGTGCAGCCAGTCTTTGGGATATTATATAATTATAAAGCAACAGACAATGTATTGATCCCCACTCATAGAAGGAAGTAGAAAGAATAACACACTAGACAGTATAAAAATCGAGTTCTGTGTTAATTATGATATCTTTCAGGTCACTTTTGCATATGTTCTTGTGGTATAGCATTAGTCTTCCTGCAAATCTTATCCCTATTACCAGGTCACCATGCAGGAGATCCATTGGAATTCGACCGTCCTCCACGCGAGGGACATTTCCCATCCAGCGCTAGTGTCTTTGCTTCAGCAGAAAATACATTATCACTAGTGAAAATAAATAATTCTGAAATAAATAACAGAAGAACAAATGGACGTCTGTGACAATGTTAATAGCAAGATTTACCAATAGCAATTACCAATACGCTGTGGTGTAGCGGCAAGGCGCTTGCACGTAGATCCGAGGGGCGAGGGTTTAAATCCAACGGAGTCGGAGTTTTCTTCGTCTAAGAAGGACCTTGGCCCCCGACCTAACATTTGTACCAGGTAAAGTCATAGGAAGTAGAAGCGACTGGCGTTATATTAATCATATGACCCACCGAGTCGAGTACTGTCAATTAAACATAGGTCTAGTACTATACCCAATACGTCTGTGGATATGATAAGAGTCCTTCGTGAACCACAATATTACAGCTATTCGTCTGTGAAAAAGAACGTTAATAAATCAACGCTACTATGAAAATTTAAATCTTTAAATGAATATTCGAACCGTTACGCATGCATACAAATTGCAAAAACATCGGTTTTGACAATTTTCAAACAGTTAGAAATCTTCAGCAATAACAAAACAGGGGTATTAATGATATTGTAAAACAAACATACCGATAATATAATTATAAATGTATATATATATGTAAACATAACAAGCTCCTATCTAACTTGGTTCGGGCATGGGATGAGCCATGATTTGATTACAAAGACTGCTTCACATACACTTGACACCAACGAAATCATCCCAGGATCCTCACTGGTTATCTTTAACACCATGGAGAACATCTTGAAGCCTCGCTGAGTATCTTCGGTATCCATGAACCAATCTTGAAAACATGCTTGCCTATCTCTTTCATCGGCAGATCACTGGAAACCGTATTCGGTGTTTCGGAAACCAATAAAAGAAACAGGAAGCCTCACTGAAATAGAACATTCTTGAAATCCCATTGGTTTGTGGTATTCATGAAAGTATATTTGGCAACATGTCCATGATTTCAACAAAGGCCACACTGGACAGTTGTGATATTAATTAATGACCTTTGAAAATGCTAATGCCAAAATCTTTTATAATCTAACATCTAACATCACCGAAAGAATATCGAAACCTCAGCGGGATTTTGGGCATCATCGAAAGTATCCAGGAAACTCACTGGATATTTTTCCAATTAACGAAATAATCTTGGAAACCTGACTGGCTGTCTTTATTATTGAAACAAAAAAGCACCTTAGAAACGTCTCTAACATCACCTAAAAACATATGGCACCCATTAGCTGTCTCTGCAATTGGCGAAATCTTGGCAACCTCTAATTGTCAATCCAGAAAAAGGATCTTGGAAAGCCCTCATTTGCAAATACTGCGATCAGAGATAGAGACATAGCAAACACTTTGGCTGTCTCTGGGTTCAATTAAAGAGCCTTGCAAACTGTCTTCACTTTTAAAAGTCCCACCACTTTCAATGGAATCGTACGGAAAGCCATATTTGTCCACTTTAAAGTATGGTGTACCATCGCTACCATATTCTCCATTATTAGCAGGATAAACCAACTCACTATTCCTCGTGTTATTTTGTTTTCCATTATTCTCCTCTGATGGTACATCTAATTTGTTGTTGGGGTTATCTTCACGGCGAATTTCAGCCGGTCTGTTCAGAAAGTTGTAATTCTCCTGAAAATATCGACCCAAAGAGAACCCTGACGACTCTTGACCAGTGGAATCTTGACTTCCCGGCAATGATTCCTCGGTTGGAATAGGCTGTCGTTGTCTTCGTTTCATATCTGGTTTGGGCACTTGCAGTTGGTTGTGTGCGTTGTGTATATTGTTGTCCTTACTTCCAAGTTTTGAATAGCCCGGTACAAAATCACCGTTAGTTACCGTTAGACTGAAAGCCTTGTCGAAACTGGTACAGGAACCAAACGGGCTTTTGTTGTTTGTGTTATTGTTGATGACATGGTTATTTGCTCTATCTTTTTCGTCCCTGTTATTATTATTAATAATGGAAGTGTTTCCGTTTATACTAATGTCATTTTCGTAGACCCCACTACCGATTACGTCGTATATACTCGATATAGTGTCATCATCATCTTTACGACGACTGTGATTGCATCTTGGAATATCTTCAGGTTTAATGCCCAGTTCCGGAATTCCGTAAAGTCTAGCAGGCTTGCTGTTTCTTGTAGGAATATCCGGAAGTGGCTTACGGTTGTTCTGTTTTGACTGTTCAACCAAAGTGCTCATATCTTTCTTCTTCTTTCTGAATAAAATGCAACTCCACACAACTCCAGCTACAAACAATGTTGTAAATACAACAACAGCTGCAACAGCTCCGCCTATCACAGCTCCTTCATTGCTGTCGCTTTTTGAATGAGCCTGTGTTGGATTGGTTGTTGTTGCTGTTGTTAAAACGTTTGTTGTTGTATCACCATCACGTGGCGAAGTTATCAAATCGTTAGGTGATGTAACCAACGTAGTATCAACATAGCTGGAATTTGTGTCTGCGCTGCAAAGTAAAGAAGAAATGATGTCTCTCTTTGAATTATTTTTATAGCTGGTGTACTTCCACGTAGCTTGGTGGCTTGGGTTCCAAATAACGTTAGCAGAACCCAGATCACACTGACCAATGTAGACTGACCAATATGATGTTGTACATTCACTTTCTGCGCTCACCGCTCGAGTGCAGGTGAAATGGCCCCCTCTGTTGTTGGACAGAAAGCCAAAATTGGGGATGTCACATTTGTATATTGTCGACATGGTGGCTGCTGTGTTTGTTGGTACTCTTGTGATGTTGTCTGTGTTGTAGTTGTAGCCTGTGCCGTAAATAAAGGTCACATTACCGCTGCAGCTGTAGGTGTCTTTTAGGCAGAGGCAACCGTACAGTCTGAAAGGCAAAAGAGTCAACAATCACAATAGGCAAATGAAGGATCTGCACACATTTTCTAGAGATTGTGGGAGGGAAAAAATGGAAGCGGGAAAGGGGAAGGGGAAAAGGAGGAGGAGTGTTACAGATGCCAAGTACTGTTCAAATGTGCTATCACCATCATACGTATTATAATTATGTCTCAACAAATAAATAGACAATAAAATAAATATAAACAAACTAATATCCACAGTGACGGATGGCTGCAATAGATCTCCAGCGCCCTCTGTCTCTTGTCCGTGTTGTACATATTCTCAGACTACTGGTCCATCTTTTGATATTGTCCGAGCTATTCAAATGTTGGAAGTAAGGACAACTATATACGCAACGCACACAACCAGCTGCAAGTGCCTTAACCAGATATGAAACAAAGACAACGACAGACTATTCCAACCGAGGGAAAATATTTTAGAATCGGAAATGTGGTTTAGACTAATGATGACAATGCTTTGAACGAATAAAAAAGGATTAATGAAGATGACTTGAAAGAAACTGATTCGCGAAGAGAATTGAGTGCCCACGTCAGAAGGGGAGGATCTACATATTTTAGTCATGCCATTAGGAGGCCAGAACTGGAGAAACATAGTTACTTTGGGAAAGTTAGAGGGAAAGAGAGGCAGATGGAGACAGAGAAACAAGATGCTGGACAATTTAACATCATGGCAAGGAAGATCCTCTGTGTCAGAGTTGACTGAAACTACTCGAGACAGAAGGCTGTGAATAGACACAACTACCAGTGCCACACGGTTTAGACTGTAAGAATAGGAAGATTGGCCGAACCGAATGATGCAATTCTTTTCCCCTAAAATCACAATTTTTGACCATTCGAAGCCCTTGAGGTTCCTTGCTGTAACATCACACCCACCCCCCCCCCCCTTCCATTTATCTCTCTGGTTGGCCTTCTCTTTCCAGCTGGTGGCACCAAGTATTTTTATTTCTGTCTGGATATTATCTCTCTAACGTCTTCTTGGTCGACCTCGTGGTCTACGACCAAAAAAAAAATTAAAACAGTAAACGACATCAGGTATGTGAAAAGATAGAATGGTAATTATGTAAACTACAGCATATTATTTGTTTCTACGACCCATGAAGGACGTTTAATCTTCAGGGCAGCTTATCTTTATTTGCATATCTCAGATCCCAGGTCGGCATAGATACCAGACCTGGAAATTTTCACTTAACTTGAACAATTTGCGCACATGTCCACACACTTTGACTGACTTAGATACCACTCACTTCCTCCAACAGCAATCAGTTACACATCTCACACCAACACCCAGGGATTACAACCCACTCGTGCTGTCGACCCACACGGACCCCACAGAGTCCATGATGTCACCCAGTTCGTCATGAACTTCAAACAACTCATGTGTCCCCAGAGGCTCATGCTCAACTCCCTTCCAGTGTCCGCAAATATTTACATTCCCATCCCGTCAACACAACATGAATGCTCGTGAGTACCATGCTTCACAAATCCCATGCTTCTTTAACTCTTTATATCCCTCATTGATTTCGCTCACACAAACATACACACAACCATACAACAGAAATAACACACACCCATACAACAGAAATAACACACACCCATACAACAGAAATAACACACAACCATACAACAGAAATAACACACAACCATACAACAGAAATAACACACAACCATACAACAAAAATAACACACACCCATACAACAGAAATAACACACACCCATACAACAGAAATAACACACACGCATACAACAGAAATAACACACACCCATACAACAGAAATAACACACACCCATACAACAGAAATAACACACACCCATACAACAGAAATAACACACACGCATACAACAGAAATAACACACACCCATACAACAGAAATAACACACACGCATACAACAGAAATAACACACACCCATACAACAGAAATAACACACACCCATACAACAGAAATAACACACACCCATACAACAGAAATAACACACACGCATACAACAGAAATAACACACACCCATACAACAGAAATAACACACACGCATACAACAGAAATAACACACACCTATACAACAGAAATAACACACACGCATACAACAGAAATAACACACACCCATACAACAGAAATAACACACACGCATACAACAGAAATAACACACACGCATACAACAGAAATAACACACACCCATACAACAGAAATAACACACACGCATACAACAGAAATAACAGACAACCATACAACAGAAATAACACACACCCATACAACAGAAATAACACACACCCATACAACAGAAATAACACACACGCATACAACAGAAATAACACACACCCATACAACAGAAATAACACACACGCATACAACAGAAATAACACACACCCATACAACAGAAATAACACACAACCATACAACAGAAATAACACACAACCATACAACAGAAATAACACACACCCATACAACAGAAATAACACACACTCATACAACAGAAATAACACACACGCATACAACAGAAATAACACACACCCATACAACAGAAATAACACACACCCATACAACAGAAACAACACACACCCATAACAGAAATAACACACACCCATACAACAGAAATAACACACAACCATACAACAGAAATAACACACACCCATACAACAGAAATAACACACACCCATACAACAGAAATAACACACACCCATACAACAGAAATAACACACACCCATACAACAGAAATAAGGAAGTAAAGATGGATGGCGCTAGTAATATTAGTCACAATGTAGATGGAGGAATTTTTGTTTTGATCCTAACAAATATTAGGCTGGTAGTATGCGCCAAAACAGTCTCATATCGTTAAACTGTGTTCTCTGTTCGCATTACTAGCATAGATAAGAAATCATTGTCTGTCTTTTCATCTTGTGCCCCCGCAAATCATAGTTATATCAATGACTGTCTCTAGCGGGTTGATCAAAAATACACAAAGGATACGGAACAGCACAACAGCACACGACTATTCAAAGAAGAATTCATTGCGCGCAGGGATTTTCTCAGACAACAAAAATATAATCGCTTCTTGATGTATTTCAGACGTACTTTGGTGGTTGTGATCAATTGTGTTCGTGCCGACTTGACATATTCTCGCTGTTTTCGGTTGTCTGGCTACAAAATGTTTGCGCAGGGAGTCTCGCTTGTAAAGGGTATGGCTCGCCCACGGGTGAATGGGGTATCGTGCTGTGTGTGTGTGTGTGTCACCGAGAGCTTGCACAAGCGATCACTAAGCTGCAAGTAATGTGCGGTGTTGTTGGGGATTGTTGCTTGCGTTGTGGATGTATCACCATTTTCCTGTGGTGTCATTATGTGTCACATTTTGGATATACTGGAAGAGAGGTTTATTGACAAATGGCTAGCCCTGATTCTAACGACAGCATTAACCATTTAACAAGAAGGGACCAGGCCACCATCTTCAGACTCAGAACACAACATACTCCACTCAATGGACACCTTAACAGAATACAGCCACAACACTCCCCGGAGTGCCAGCTATGTAACTACCCCTACGAAAATGTTGAACACCATGTCTTTGAGTGCCCAAAACTCAACAAGACTAGAAGAATGCTACTCCCTCTGAGACCAGACAGGTGGAACACCTTGTAAGGAGGAAAAGAACAACTTGTGAAAACATATAAATTCGACTACAAGGCATTGGGCCAAGGGGCGACAGCTCATGCGACGCAGGATCAATAACAACAATAACATATGTCACATCGGACTCGCCGTCTATTCCACTGTTGTCCTGTTGTGTCATTATTTGTCACATAGGGTTCGCCGTCTATTCCTCCATTGTCCTGTCATTTATATGTCACATAGGGCTCGCCGTCTATTCCTTCATTGTCCTGTTGTGTCATTTATATGTCACATAGGGCTCGCCGTCTATTCCTCCATTGTCCTGTCATTTATATGTCACATAGGGCTCGCCGTATATTCCTCCATTGTACTGTTGTGTCATTTATATGTCACATAGGGCTCGCCGTCTATTCCTCCATTGTCCTGTCATTTATATGTCACATAGGACTCGCCGTCTATTCTTCCATTGTCCTGTCATTTATATGTCACATAGGACTCGCCGTCTATTTCTCCATTGTCCTGTCATTTATATGTCACATAGGACTCGCCGTCTATTCCTCCATTGTCCTGTCATTTATATGTCACATAGGACTCGCCGTATATTCCTCCATTGTCCTGTCATTTATATGTCACATAGGACTCGCCGTATATTCCTCCATTGTCCTGTTGTGTCATTTATATGTCACATAGGACTCGCCGTCTATTCTTCCATTGTCCTGTCATTTATATGTCACTTAGGACTCGCCGTCTATTCTTCCATTGTCCTGTCATTTATATGTCACATAGGACTCGCCGTCTATTCCTCCAGTGTCCTGTCATTTATATGTCATATAGGGTTCGCCGTCTTTTCCTCCAGTGTCCTGTCATTTATATGTCATATAGGGTTCGCCGTCTATTCCTCCAGTGTCCTGTCATTTATATGTCATATAGGGTTCGCCGTCTATTCCTCCAGTGTCCTGTCATTTATATGTCATATAGGACTCGCCGTCTATTACTCCAGTGTCCTGTCATTTATATGTCATATAGGGTTCGCCGTCTATTCCTCCAGTGTCCTGTCATTTATATGTCATATAGGACTCGCCGTCTATTCCTCCAGTGTCCTGTCATTTATATGTCATATAGGACTCGCCGTCTATTCCTCCAGTGTCCTGTCATTTATATGTCATATAGGGTTCGCCGTCTATTCCTCCAGTGTCCTGTCATTTATATGTCATATAGGGTTCGCCGTCTATTCCTCCAGTGTCCTGTCATTTATATGAGACATAGGGCTCGCCGTCTGTCCTCCGTCTGTTCCTCCATTCGTTCTATCCTGTGCGATCCCTTTGTTATCATTAAATGAATTGAGTCCAGCACCTATGGTCTCTCTTGTCAACGTTTATTTTATGGTTTCTGTTTATTGTATTCCTCCATTCCTTCTATTTCCCATGTTAGAGCCGGTATGGTGATTCTCAACTCTGTTCTCCCTAGCTGTATCTAATATAGCGCTATCTTCTCTGTCTGATAACTGTTGTTACCAGTAGACAAAATATTTCCCCTGTGGGTTCTGGGGCCATATTATAGGGAAAACAAGAACAGACCCACTGCCTACCCAAAAGCATGTCGCAAGAGTCATTTAATTTGGAGTTTCCTTCGAAGTCGAAGTGCATCTGCCTGAGAGGCAAGGAACCAGCAGTCTGCATGCAAATTAGTCAGGTCTGTAAAACGGATGCACACGCAGCACTCAGTTTCTGTAACAGGACTGCAACCCAAAAGTGGATGAACAGCCAGAACAAATGGCTTGCTAATCATTCCACCATTACGTTTCTCTGGAATCTCTGGAATTGTTATCTGTTCCAATTTCCACAAAATAGTACCCATTCTTCCGTCTCTCTAACATTCAAACGCTCACTGCACGCCGCTATGCCATACTGTACTTTACAGACACCCTACACTCACACAAACATACAGACACTCACAACGACACTTACTCAAACACACACTTAAAGGGTGTTTCTAATGTCTAATTACACTTTGTATGTAAAACACTTTTTTTAACGCAATACATCAAAACAAATTTGCTGGAAAGAGTAATTAAATTAGTTACAACAGTCACTTCTACAACGCTTTTTTTTTTAAACACTAAAATATTAATTATAACAGGTTTAAATAGGTGACCGTCCGTGTGTACAGACTGATATTTCAAAATATTTGTTAAACCCCCCTACCACCCGCCCCTCCCCCCCCCCACACACACACACACACACACACATTTTTTTCCCTTCCATTGATAACCCCATTATGATGTGAGTGCCAAGAATTACTCCAGAAGACAGCCGTACACTGCATATTGCTTGACGACT